TTTTTTTGTTAACAAGTTTAGGTTTAAATGACTAAAAAATATATATTTTAAAGTTATGGGACCACATTAAAACCCTGTATAAAGTGAAAGGACTAAATGGATACCTTATCCTTATTTAAAATTTGAATGTCTCAAAAATGAATTATATATATATGAGAATTTAAGGAAATAAAAGAAAAATAATTATTAAAATTATTTAAGGCCGAGGAAAATTTTGAAAAATATTATGAAATATTATATTGATAATTTAGAAATATTGTGAAGGGGCTTATATTTTACAAAAATGACTTAATAATTTTAAAGCTAATTTATGGGAGATAAGGGCCCTTTTCCGGAAAATTGAAGTGAAAATAGTTAGAGGCTAATATTCAGCCTTAAAATTTTAGAAAAATTATTTTAGGAGCTGGAGAAGCTAATTAAAAAAAAATCTTCATAAAAAGTGTCCCAGACTAAATTTCGGAATTTACTGGAAAAGTTTAGTACTGATTAGTGATGGGTATAATGCCAATTTCACTTTCTCAAGCCTAAAAAGGAAATTGGGCCAATGCATTGTCCAATTTAAAAAGTATTGTACGTGGTGCGCCAAGTCCAAAAAGAAGAGCATCAGATTTGTTGGGTTGGAATTCATGAAATGCCAAGGAGTAAGCTTGTGTAGTAAGCTTGCAAGGAGTAAGTTAAACATGTGTGTGTGTGTGTGTGTGTGTTGCCTCTATTTAAACCACTCTAGTTAAAGTTCATTTTCGCCCTTGCAACAGCAGAGAGAGAGAGAGAGAGAGGGAGAGGGAGGGCTGAGGGAAGGTGAAGAAGTGATCGAAGAAGAAGGAAAGTTCTCCCCTCACATGCAACTGAACGTTTAGACCAAGGTAAGGACCTTAAACCTTATTCCATCAATATTTTTTTCCAGTGGCTGTGTGTTGTGCAAATAGATGAGAGGTTTAAATCTGGTTTTCAAAGAGAGAAAGAGAGGGATGCATGCATTAAGCTATAAAAATCATATCCAGATGATGGATGGGGGTTGATTTTATTCCTGGCATGTTGATTTGTGTGAGAAGAAGTGGATTTTTGAATCTGGAGTTTCTGTTTCAGGGGAGTATTTATTCAACTTCTCTTACGGAGCTGAAATCTGGAATTCAGAAGCTGACTTTTTCCCACTGTTATAATGTTTAATTGTGTACTAAGTTTATAATTAAGTGGGAACTAAAATATAGCAAACACCTAAAGCCCTCAAGGTGAAATATGGACGAAGTGAAGTGACTAAACCAAGTTTTATTCTCTTCCCTTGTTCGGTCAAAGTAACTGGAACATCTTAAAATGTCAAGGGAAGGCACCCTTAGGGTGTGTTTGGTATGAGGGATTTGGAGGGGAGGGGAGGGAAGGGGAAGGATTTTAATCATTTCCCCTTGTTTGGCAACACACAAATTTTAGGAGGGGAGGTAAAATTTTAAAAAATTTTCCCTCCCCTCTCCTCCTTAACCTTCCCTCGAAAATTAAAAGGATTTGGAGGGAAAGGGTAATATTTTGCCATGTTGTGACTATTATGCCCATATCTTAAATAAAATAAGGGCACAATTATCTATATTAAAATATTTTTTCCTCTCCTCCCCTCATGAACCAAATAAGGTAATATTAAAACTCCTCTCCTCCCCTCCTTTTTTATAAATCCAAACAAGATAGTATAAAAATCCTTTCACTTTCCTCCCCTCCCCTTCTTCTCATTGAGCCAAACAAACCGTAAAAGTGGAGGAACTACACATGTAAAGGGTCTAGTGGCTCTTGTATAGTGATTATGGGCAATTGGAACATCATATCATTATTAGTTTTGTGAACTTTAATTCTTATCCCCTGTTTGGACAGCACCCTTTAGATTTTTATTGAATTAAAAATTTTGTCACTGAGAGGTTTAAATGTTACTGTTTTGATATGTTATAACACGGAACGAGTGTTCTAAATTCCCGTACGTCCTGCACCTAAGGCATATTTAAAGGCCCCTAGCTTGTGTTTGGTGGCTCTTTTAAAGTGTTTGGCAACAAGAGGATTAAAGTTTACAAGTCTATCTATTAAGCCCTGTTTTTTGATAGCATAGTTTTAGTAAGAGGAAGTCAAGTTTTGGTTAAATTTCAATATGATAATGAGCTTAATAGAGACCTTGGTGTAGTAGCAAGTCTCTAGCATAAGTTTGGGACTGTTAAACACACAATTAAATTTGCAAGGCCGCCTTGTTCGGCCTGCATGCTTGAGAGAGATAAAGATGAACATTGATTAAGTTATGCAATGGTTTCAGATGTCGTACAATAGTATTGGGGGGAGTTAAGAATTAGTTAGAGCATTAAGCTTTTTCAAGAGCTAAATTTAGAGTTTGAACCACTATTTTTGGAGCTATATTGCATTAATTATGAATTTTTAAAGTATTTTAGAAAATCTCATCCCAACAATTGGAAAGCATTAGCAATAGAACCTATAGTGTTTTGGGGAAAAAGTTTTTAATTGTTGGACTTTTGGGGATTCTAAGGGGTCATGAGTAGTTCTTAAATGGCTAAACATCTTTAATTAGTGAACCTAAATAAGGTTTGATGGTAACTTTATGTTGGATTTTGGGTTTGGATCCACTCTTGATGGGCTGGACTATTTGATTGGATATTAAGAGAATATACCGGTCAAATATCCAAGCAAGATTATAATATGTTTGACTTGGTTAAACATCTTAAATCTAATATAATCGATTACAATATAAATTTAATTAATTTATATTGTATAGATTAAATATATATTAGATATATATATTTAGAATTGATTGTGATTGATTCTAGATTTGAATTCAAAAATCATAATATTATAAGTCAAAGATATATTTGAATATCCAAATTCAAATTCAAACTAATGGGCTCAGTGAATATTTTGACTTTCCAAAATACCCCTAACCAAAGCTATAAATAGATGTCTCTACCTATCAGTTCAATTCATTTCAGTAGTTGAACTTTCCTACTATCTCTCTCTCTCTTATTCTTTCTTGCAAAGAGATGCTCTGTTACACACTCAAAACTTAGACTTTTATAGTTACCTTATAGCGTGAGCTCAAAGAATCCGACCGGACTCAACCTGAGATCCAACCCAATATGTTTTATGATCCATTCTTAATTTTATCTTAAACTTTATTTATTTCCTTTGTTAAAAGAAATATTATTATTTACTAAATATTATTATTTTTATCTTACACAGTTTTACGCTCTAAGAATATGCCGGATGATTGGAGGAGAAGTATTTTAGTTCCTATTTACAAGAATAAAGGAGACATTCAAAACTGTGCAAACTACAGAGGGATAAAATTTATGAGTCATACAATAAAGTTGTGGGAAAAAGTGATAGAATATAGGTTGAGGCTGGAGACTTCTATTTCGGAAAACCAATTTGGATTTATGTCAGGGAGATTCACATCGGAAGCAATCTATTTACTAAGGGGGTTAATGGAAAGATATAGAAGTAAAAGAAGGGACTTACATATGGTTTTTATTAACCTGGAAAAGGCTTATGATCGTGTGCCAAGAGAAGTAATGTGGAAGGCTTTAGAAAAGAAAGGTGCATGGGTTGCTTAATTCAAAGCCATACAAGATATGTATGAGAGGTAACTACCAGTGTAAGGACGCCTAGAGGTGAGACAAAGGACTTCCCTATTAAGATTGGCCTACATCAGGGATCCTCTTTGAGTCCGTACTTGTTCAATATTGTTCTAGATGTTCTAACTGAACCTATTCAAGAAAGAATCCCTAAGTCCATGCATTTTGCGAATGATATAGTTCTCATGGTGGAATCAAAAGAAGAGATTAACACTAGATTGGAGTTATGAAGAAGGATTTTGAAGTCGAAAGGTTTCTGCTTGAGCAGGAATAAAACAGAATATATGCATTGTGATTTTGGGGGCAGGCAAGGCAATAGGGATTTAGAGGTGAAGATAGGGGAATCATTCCTCAAGTATCAAAGTTTAAATACCTAGGATCCATTATACAAGAGGATAGGGAAATTGATGGAGACGTTCTCATAGAATATAAGCTGGCTGGTTAAAGTGGAGGAAAGCTATCGGAGTTATTTGCGATAAGAAGGTACCTGAGAAACTTAAAGGAAAATTTTATCGGACTGCTATAAGACCAGCTATTTTGTACGGTAGTGAATGTTGGGCAATAAAGGGAAAACAAGAGCACAAAGTCGAGGTAGCAGAAATGAGGATGTTGAGATGAATGTATGGTCATACAAGAAAAGATAGGATTCGAAATGAAAATATCAGGGCAAGAGTCGGTGTGGCACCTATCCAAAAAAAATGATTAAAAATCGCTTAAGATGGTTTGGACATATGAAGAGAAGGCCCTTGGAGGCCCCGGTGAGGAGGGTGGATCAAACAAGATGGAGTCCCATAAAAAGAGGCAGAGGAAGACCGAGAAGAACGCTTAATGAGGTCATTGAATGAGACCTAGTCAACAACATATCTAAGGACTGGGTTGTTGACAGAGCACGATAGCGTCGTGTGATTCATGTAGCCGACCCCACCTAGTGGGATAAGGCTTGTTGTTGTTGTTGTACTAATTTTTTTTATTTCAGATTCTCAACCCACTCCTTAATAAAATTAAAATAAATTCTTAAAGGTTTGCCACCTTATAAAATTAGAACCAAATAATGTAACCAAAAATCAATCTGTTGTCTTTTTGGTATTTTTAAAATAGCATGCTTATCAATGGAATTATATATTGTTTCTTCAATACCCTGTCCAAAACCACAAGTTTTTTTTCCCAGTTTATGTAAAATTCATTATGCAGTTGGAATACACACACTTGCGTGTACCCGCTCGCGGGTATATTGTCAGCATTTTAAATATGATCTTCAAACTCTGTTTTTCTCATAAAAAGGATAGAATTTTTTGACCATGGCCACAAAATTAAAACAATCAAGCATACATATAATCATTGATGGGGACCTATGGAGAAGCAGTAAAATGATGCCATTAGCAATCAAAATCATACCTCAGTGAGGGATTGTTGTGTTGCTTCTCCCGTATTTAAAGATTGTTCGGTATTGAGATGAGAAGAAAACTTTTCTTCTGCTTTTTCTTCAACTTGAGAACATATTGTTTCAATGCCTACTTGAAGCCGGACAGATGAAATTTCTGAAAATAGGATTTTTAATGTTATAATGAAACTCATATATAATAATTTTCAAGTTTGTAGAGAATAAATACTTTTCTGAATGCATACCATAAAAAGAAAAATTGGGACAATCATCCATTTTTGTGTTATCATCTCCTTTCAAAGTTTGAAAATCTATCCCATAGCAGAGACTACCAAGGTTGGGAAGATCTATGAGCTCCAATTGACTTAGTTGTGGAAGCACATCCTTCATGGCCATCTCTTTCATCTCTCCTTGTCTTACCATTACATGCTCAAGTTCATTGGCTCTACTTATCTTCAAAGATCCTAGTTTTGGAAGGATACCAGAAATAGTGATAGAGAACAAGTACCTCAATTTGTCACAATCATTGACAGAGACTTGTTCTAAGTCGGGAAAGCATGCTTCATGGCACAAATGATGATCGTCATTTGTTTCATAATCTTCTTCAACAATGTGAACTAATTCTTCACATTCTGATATACCTAGCTTCTGCAACATTGGTAGGCTTCTCACCATACATGCAGGGAAGATAACTTTGAGCTTTTTGCATCCACGAATGGATAGCTCCTGAAGACTATGGAAGTATATAATATGTTTAGGCCCCACACATATATTCACCAATTCACTTAAATTTTGCAACTCCAACTTTTGCAAACTTGATGTCAATCGTTCAAGTCCATCCCCATTTTGTTCTGTGTTCACTTGTGTCAAATCAACAATTTCTTTTATTTTGGAGTCCCTAACTACTAGAGTTTTTGAAATTTGGCCGCACGTCTCCATTTCCTACAAATTCCATAAAAGATAAATCAATTCCAAATTTATTTTTATAACAAAAAGAACTTTAAAATGGGCAGTCCAATTTGAACAAAATCATGGTGAAGTTTACGGTGACTGAAACTACTAAATAAAAATTCATAAGAAACAAATAAATTTGGATTTTACATATAAATGTTATTTTTTCACACATGTATGTCTGAAAACCAAAAATAAAAAGCCCTTATAGTTTACGAAAATAGAGAATTAGTGAGGTAATATTATTACTTTCTGCTTCTTTAAGAGAACATATGAATGATGTAGTGAGAAATATTATTAAAATATATAACTTCTTAGTTGGGGGAACATATTAATAGTAGTAAGAGAAGTTGAACAGAATCATACCTTTGTTTCCTGTTGTTTTGCATGCCAACAAAATAAAAATTCTTTGAAAGGTCTTATAAACTCTGAAAACGCATCCAAAACAATAGATGACACTGGAGATAACCCTCTCAAATAGTAGTTTTCGGGGCAAATGCTAATGAGTTCTGGCACTTTCATAATTGAAAGATCTTTCAAAGTAGGGAAGTCCATGTGAATTTTGATACTCCCATTATGATGAGTTATATTGTCTTCATGTTGGCTTCTTCCAAATACATATTTCAACAAAGGAGCCCCATCGATCTCCAAAGACTCCAAATATGCAGGGCATCTGAAAGCATATGCTGGGAGTAAATATTCCAATGCGGTGCAGTCTGAAACTCGTAACATTTTCAACTTTGGAAAAATGGAATAATTGTAGTTCATGTGAGTTCCAGCATCTGCCTCATCTTCTACAATGCACTTCAGTTTATGACATTCTATAATTGTCAAATCTTCCAACAAAATTGTTGAGGCAAGGGATAGAGTTGACAAAGATATTAGGTTGCAACATCCGCATAGTTTTACTTTTCTAACATTCTCCAATGATTGCGCCAACAAGATTTGAGATGCATGGAAAGGAGGAACTCTACCTGTAGATGAATTTAATTCCTACAAACACAAATCTTTAAAAAGTTATATCTATCGCCAACAGAATAAATCACTCTTATTTTAAAATAAACAATATGCAAGATTGGAATATATAATAATACATAATAAATCAAAGATATTTTTAACATAAGAACAATTAGTAAAACAAATTTTTTATGTAGTCATATCATGTACAACAAATAATGTCAGAGCAAATAAAAACTCGATTCAACTCTTTATAAGCTCCCTTATGCTCCATTTCATTTGATAATTTGTTAATAAAAAAAACTACGTAAAATGTTTATAATGGAAAAAACTCTTTTCAATTTAAAATGATTATTGCCTTTGTGTGTGTTATTCCGTCCGACATATGGATAAAGATCGGAATCTGTAAAAGATTTGCAATTTGACCCAAATGCTTTATTTAATATTAACTTGGTCCATACAATTTCATTAAATAAATAATTAAATTATCCACATACCTAAGTATGGGAGTGGTTAAAAAAAGAACACAGCACATTAACTGAAATTGTATTGATGTCAATAAGGCACTCAAAGCTTGAGATATATTTTAACTGACATTTTGAATCATTAAGACCGAATTAATGCTGATTAAAACACCAAACGGGTTGAAACTTTGAGTAATAAAAGTTTCATTTTCCCAATATATATATATATGAAGCTAAATGACATAATTTTACGTGTTAATTTGCATAATCCATTCATAACCTGTTTTTATTCGAAGTCTTTATTGGTAACCATATATTAATATCACCCTTGTTAGGCAACAATTAATTCAATATTTGTTAATAAACAATTAATCTAAAAGCTGAATTGAGCGGGAAAAAAACGCTCCACATATAAAGACAGTCATAAATACTTCATATGTACAACAGTTAAAGAGAGTGTACCTCTGTGGTTGTCAGATTCACGATGTCAGAATCATCGAAAGATTTAATGCCGCAATTCCACATCACAACATTCTGAAGAGATGACAGATCCATCTTATAATTCTTGGCGCAAATGCTTTTGATCTTTGGCACAGCTTTGATGGAGAGGGTCTCCAAAGCAGGGAGCTCGAAATGCTGCTCTTCATTTTGCTGATCTTGCTGGTAGTTCCCAACAACATAGTTTAGTTCAGGAACTTTCCTAATAGTCAAATACTTCAATTTTTGAAGACCACCAGATATTGATGATTGAAATACAAATTCCAATTCCTTGCAATCATCGATTACCAGATTCTTTAGTGCTGGGAAAATGGAAGAGTAATTATTATTATCAACTTGAGCATCTCCCTCATGTGTTGTGATGCACTTCAGTTTATGACATTTAGCGATTGACAAACTTTCCAACGAAATTGTCGAGGCCGCAATGGAGAGAGTTGACAGTGATATTAAGTTCCCACATCTCTCAAGTTTTATTCCCCTTAAATTCTTCAATGATTGCACCAAAAGGCTTCGAGCTGCAAGGAAAGGAGGAACTCCTTCTGTGCATGCATCTAATTCCTACAAACACATATCAATGCATAATAAATCAAGAAAATAAATCATTCTTATTCCAAAAGAAACAATACGTAAAATTTGAATATACAATAATACATAATATTTCAAAATATTTTTAATACAACAACAATCAGTAAAATAGATCATTCTTACACGGAAACAAACTATAAGTAAAATTTTTATATGCAGTAATGTACAGCAAATTAAATAATATCAAAGCATAACAATAAATCAAAACAGTGATAACTATGAGTCTTCATAAAGTGTCAATATACATCAATTTAACCGGAAAGTAGAGTATTTTGATACCTTAATTATTCCCAAAAGTAAATTTCTTATATCTCTCATAGTCATATGTTCATCGTCTTTCTTGAATCTAACCCTTTGAATTATTGTGCTCCATTCTAATATTCTAATTTATAATGGCTCGACAATCAACTAATCTAAAAGCTTACTATATTAGAATATTCATAAATGATTGTGTCAAATTAATATATGTTTCACTTCACAATGACAATATGATCAGCGTATTTATAAATTAATATAATTTTTGTGTAATATGTTCATTCTTAAATGTTTGTCTTTGTCACCGCTTTTGAGTTATAACGCCACATTTGGTTAATATTAATAAACAAACAATTAATGTAAAAGGATTAGCATGTTAGAAATAATTAATGTTTGTATGTAAAAATGACATTTAAGCATCTTCTATAAACATTTTTTTAACCAAAGAATCTCCTATAAATATTAATTATATAAAGGACTGTGAATTTTAAAAATATCAAGTATGGACCAAACTCCTTGGTTGGAATCAAAAGTTTTGTTGAGATGATTTTCTCACTAGTTGACTTTAATTTTTCTAATGCTGCTATTTTCACTGTTTTCAATACTTTTATCTATTTACTACTCTTTTTAATGCTTTCAATACAAAAGAAACTAAGTGAGTGTTGAAAACATCGAAGTTGGTAGTTGGGGGAAAAAAGAAATTTAGGTATTAAAAAAATTGAAAATATGAATATTGAAAATATTAAAAACAAGAATTGAAGTGGTTAAATTTATGCACTTAAAAAAAGAATATAGAAAATAATCAATACAGAACATTTAATTCTGACCAATGATCTTAATCCTTTTGTGAAACTTTTAAAATTCATGGTCATTAACAAAAAAAATTTATAAAGTGTTTTTACTTTGTTCGTTATATACTTCTTTTTGACACCTAAGATATACACACGCACACGGTTAAATTTTTAAGTGATATTTGTTGACACGCATGAAATCTAGAAAACTAGCACATCATGTAGTCAATTTTCATCTGACTATATTTTTACACTCTCTTCATCCAGCTATAATTTAAAGAAATTTGGAAAATTAAGTATCAATCACGCACGCAAAAAAATTTTATGAAGTGTTTTCAAACCTCATTTTTTTTAAATTTCACTTTTGCGTAAGTATATCAATAGAGAACAAACAACATCAAGACAAAAAGAGAGCATTACTCAGGGCTTTGCCCTTTTATGTCACCAAGTAAAAAAAAAAACAGAGAGCATTACCTTTGTGGTATTCAAATTCAGTTGTGCTTTGTCTGAACAAACATGTGGTAGAGATGGTGACATCGTTTTATAATTCATGGGACCAATGCTGATGAATTTTGGTACGTCTTCAAAACAGAGGGCCTCCAAAGCAGGGAGACCAAAGTGCAACTCATCATTCTGATTTTGATTGGATAAACAATGCTGATGCTGGTACTTTTCAATAACATATGTTAGCTGAGGAGCATGCTTGATAGTCAAGGACTTTAAATTCTTGATTTCTATAGATATTGTAGACAGAAATAAAAATTCCAAGTCCTTGCACTCTGAGATATGAAGTTTCTGTAACTTTGGGAAAATGGAACTGCAAGTGATTTGATCTTTATAATCATCATCCTCGCTTGTCACCAATTGGTTCAGCCCATCATAACCTATGATTGTCAAATCTTCCCATGATATCACTGATGCCATGGATAAGGTGAACAAAGTTGATACCGAATTTGAAGAGAGACATGCAAGTTCCATCTTCTTGATATGACGAACATGGAGTGCTAGTTGTCTCACAAGGATAGGAGCAGTATCAATCCATTTCTTAGATGCAAGAAATCCCTTCAAAAAGACATTGTTGTTTATGCAATCGTAATGCTCATAAGTATCTAATCTAGGAAAATAACTTAGAGGTCATGAAGATTTTTGTTGTAGTAGATGATGTGTAATTTGGTTGAAATCTAGAAAACTATCATTATACGATTATAATTTCAAGAAATTCAAGAAAGATATATCATAAACTTTTTATGTGTTGAGCATTGTTAACTATATTTCTTACAATAAAAGGCATGTGCGCATGCGCATGAATATGTTAATCTATGTGGATTTTTACTGAGGAACAATTGTTATAACAAGATGTCTTGCTACAGATTCAGTCAATCATGCAAAAAACAAGTACTTTAAATTAATTTTAAATAATTTATCATACCAAGGATCACAATAAATATTTTTAACACTCATACCTCATTTTATTTAATTGTAAATCATTCTTCTTTTTCAAATAATTAGCAATGTATAATTCACAAGAGGGAGACTTGAATGTAAAAAAAATCTGAACATAAATAGGGAAGTAAGCTGATCATACCTGTGGAATTCCTTCGTCAACCAATCTCCCTGTAGAAGCAGCACCATCAGCCTCTTCACCTGTGGCCTTTGATTTAAAACAACATACTTGAGCCCAAGAAAAAGAACATGTCTTGGTGCTTAGAGGTGTGGGTGCTGGCTGTTGCAGTGATGAAGAGATGGATTTTTCATACTCCCTAAAAACACCAACCAAACTTGCTAGTCCATAAAGTTCCATGCTTTTCAGGTTGGGGAGCATATCATTGACCTCTTGCAACTTATCAAATATATATTTCAACTTCTCGCACCACACTATGGTTATTCTTTCCAGAGGCCATCCACTGAGAAGGATTGGCAATATTATTTCTAATTTGTCACACCACCTGATTTCAAGATATTTAAATTTTGGAAACAATGTGTCGTAGCTCTTTTGATCATTGTCACTATCACCACCAACTATTTCCCCTCTTGAACTCTTATCTTCTATAATGCATTCCAATTTATCACATCTCTCAATTTTCAACTCCTCTAACTGCGAAAGACTTTGAGCGGTGGATGGGAGGAAAATTGAAGTCAGGTTTGGACACCCGTTCAATTTCAAGGTCTTGAGATGACAAAGGTTATAGTGGCCATTAAATAATATATTGTTTAGTCCCATTTCAGAAAGATATAGTCCAACTAAATTGGAAAAAGCATTCTTCACATCAAAGCGATTGTTCGCAGCATCAATAAGACATTGCATGTCATGCCAAAAATCCAATTTAAGAATGATTAAGTTAGTCATGCCTCTGTTGTTTACTAGAACAATATCAGGGATTAGATTTTTCTGTTTTGTTTCTCCATAACCATCTAAGATGAGAACCTCAGCTGTTTTAGCAAGTTGCTTGAATGTTGCCTCAAAGATTAAATGCCTTAAATGTCTTGGCTTAAAGCATCTTGACAGGGGACCACATTGCTCAAAATAATCTAAAAATTCATCCTGACCATCACAAGATATTTGGTATATCTGTAATGTATGAAAAGATGCTTTATGAGAAATTGTATTTTCTATTTCCTTCTCATCATACAGATTTCTCAAAAAAGTCAGCTCCTCTAGCTTTGGGCATGCTTCAATCAGTTCAAAAGGATTACTCATATTGATATCACAATTTTCTATCCCTAAGAATCTCAACTTCTCTAGCTCAAAATTTTCTCCAGGTGATTTAATAATTAAACAATGATCAAACCACAGACTCTCAAGATTTGGTAACCTTCCCAACATAGAGATGCTGTCGCATAATGCAAAATTTCCTATCTTGAGAGTTTGAATATTTTGAAATGACTGAATTGATGAAAATAGTGATGGAGCTGAAATTTGATAGAGAGCTTCACTCCATAGAAACCAAACTTTGAGCTTTTTCATCTCTGTGAAGAATGTATCGTGGACTTCCAAATCCTCTAAGTCATCTAGAACCCAAAGTAAAACCTCAAGGTTTCTACCATCAAAGTATCTTGGAAAAGAATTGCTTTTCCAAAATAAACATTGCAAGCCCTTTTTAGGCTGTTTAGATTCAATGACAGATTGAACATCCTTTTCTCCTATTAATAAGGCTACTTCATGAACTAAATCATGCATCTTTACACATTCCCTCCCCGCATCCAATAATAAAGAAGAACCTAGGAGTTCCGCTATAGCATCAAGTACTTTTCTTCTTCTTTCATTGTAGTTATCAACTTCCCCAAAATGGTCCATTCCTACACCAATTTTGATTAAAAACTCAATAGGAATCTTAAAATCTTCAGGGAATAGGGAAGATATCAACAAGAGCTTTTTGGCTTTTTCATTTTTCAAATTATCATAGCTCAACTTCAAACCTTCATAGACCCCTTTTAAATCATCATCACGAACCTTAAATATTGGCTCACCGCTTTGCAAGTTCCTCAAGGCTTCCTTCCAAACTCTAGAAGGTCGACCTTTTAATGATCTTGCTACAGCAACAATTACAACTGGTACTCCATGGCAGTGCTCCACAATAAGTGGCAAACTCTCCAAATTAGAGGAACTACTAGTATGCTTGAGGAAAAGAGACAATGCGTCCTTATCGGTCAATGCATCTAGATGAATGTTTCTTTGGCAATCCATCTTTGTACAAATCTCTTCAATCCGGGTGGTTATCAATATAGTACAACCCTTCTGCAGGTGGGGAGGAGGAATCCCCAACTCTTTTGTGGGATCAAACTCCATCCACACATCATCTAGTACTATAAGAAGTTTTTCTTTTAATGCTTTGATTTTGGCCAATATTTTGTGATGGGGTACTTCTTCCATTCCATTCTCTAATTTCAAATCCAAATTCCTAGCAATTTCACCTCGAAGCTTTTTGAAATCTGGAAGCTTAGAGACAACAAGAAAGATGACTTTTCCGAACGTGGATCCTTCTAATTCAACACCCACTTCCTTTGCCATTGAGGTTTTGCCTGTTCCCCCTAAGCCTTCCAGTCCAATCATATTGTTTTCTTCATCTTCTAGTGCCTTTTTAAGTTCTTCAAATGTTGACTTTCTGCTCTCAAAATGTAAGAAATTTGGTAAGCAATGGTATTTTATACCTGGAAGATCAATTGGACTTGCTACTATGTCAGAGTTACATCTCTCTAGAAGTTTGTCAATATCTAGAGTCCGCTTCACCAAGTCTTTGCCTTTCTGATATTGATGCCAGCAATTAAGACACAAGTCATGAAGGCATTTCTCTTTCTTAATGTCAACATCAATGAGTTCTTCAGCTTCACGTGTCCATTGTAGGGCAACAAATGTGATATGAGAAACACCTCTTGCTTGATCAATTATTCTCCTTAGATCTTCAAGTTTTGCATTCAATCTTTCCTTTGCATGCTCATATTCTTGAACATAACTATTGAAGCAACATAAATATTGAGCTTCATTTTTCACCAATTCCACTAAACTTTGGGTTGCCTTCTCTATAAAGTTAGGAGCGATGCTCTTCATCTAACATGGAAATAAAGTTAATGTTATTCTATCTTTCTATCTTGATTTAAGTTGTGAAATACAAGCATAATGATTTTAATAAGATGAAAAATAAAGGAGACTAACTAAAAAAGGAGAAAAATATATACTAATTTTGTATTTAGTATAATCATCTTAGAAAGTAAAATACATGAAGATGAATCCTGAAAGAAATTCACTATAGGTCATATGTTATGACTCAATGAATGCATTTTGAAGCTGGATTTGCGTAGTGGTTTTAAATCGGAGGTCATTTGGACTACATTAAAATTTGAAACCCCATAAAATTAGAGGCTAAAAATTACTTTTAATATTCTAAAAAATATATATAAGTTGAAATATTTTTATGTTTTTGGTATTCATTCCTAGATTTGGGTAAAACTTCTACCAGTAAAGAAGAAAACGTGATCATGGTTTTGCTCTCAAGTGGAGAAATTCTATTGGAGTGCTCTAATGCTTCTATCCTAATTGATAAACAAAAATATGATTTAAAAATGATAAATATATAAAATTTAGATTTCTTATAAAATTTAAAACATATAAAATTTAAAAATATATGATTTTTATAATATATTGATTATAAATATATGTTGTCTCTTTAGTAATTACGGTATAGACTTTACCTTTATATTAACTTAACAAATATTTAAAACTACAATCCAGAAATATCAATATTTTTATAAGACGCAATATATATGTGTCCACAAACTAGACCTTCCCGGTCTAACGCTGTCATGACGTGGCAAATGTGTAGTCGAGTGTCTACGGTCATGGATTATTTGTGTTAGTATATTATCCTTTTTATTAAAAAAAACATTTACTAAAAAGTTGGAAATAAAATTTTCAAACAAGGTTTTCTTTAATTGAATTGGCTTAATAGTATTATGTGTGTGTTACACATATTAACATAAGAATTAAATTAAGATTATCGTATATCCTAACCTTTTTTTTTTCCTTTCTGGTTTCATTTGGTAGAAGAAAGCAATTGATGAACTCGAAAGTGAGAACATAGAGTTATGCACCCACAATTTAACAGGTTTCAGAATATCATATTTACTTTTTTTCCCTAGTAAAGTGTAACATCCTAAAATTTATTAAAATTACGATAACGTCACTGCTAATATTTAGTCTTAGAAACTATCTCATCAAGGTCTCTATTATAATGACTTCTAGTCTATATTCATCTCAATTTCCTGTAAACAGCTCTCGAGACTTCATCACAGTCTTCATCTTTCTCATTTCTTGGTCCCAACAAACTCTCTCTTTGTCATTTGATCCTTGAAAATCCTTCTATCTTTTTAGGGAGCTTTTGAGACTCATCTCAATTAAGGTCCAGTAACTTACTCATTTCAGGTTATTTTTTATGTTTCTAAGTCCAAAATTCAAAATGTTATATCAGGTACTTCTTCTTCTTTTTAAAAAAATATTGGATCATGCAATGCCATATTCGTATATAAATACGTGTGTGTTAGGAAAATAGTAATAAAAACATATAAACACAATATAAAAATAACAGAAATAGACTCAATCAAATAAAAATACATCCTTACCTTTTTTTTTTTCCAGATTTCAGTGTTGAACCAAGAGGAAATAAAAGAGATTCTCAAACCAGAACACAGGAATGCAAATCCTGTCAATCAGAAATATGTAAAAGAGATTTCAATATAAATATTTGGATTAAAACTCTACAAAAATCATATCGTATATTTAGCAATTTCTTGCGATTTCAATCAGAGTAAAGAGAATCTTGAATGGCATGCAAATTTCAACATGAATTATAAAAATAAGAAAATAAGAACTAATGATCATGCAAAACTATTACTATTAATGTATCAAAAAACTATTATTATTAAAAAATTGATCTAAGAATTGACGAAGAGAAAAATAGAAGGAAAAAAGAACATACCGGTAGCCAAAGAACTGAGAGAAACAAGTCCTACTAATTTTACAAATTTTAAAATGCCAAACATGGAGAAGACACAGCTAACTATGAATAACTAAAAAGGTATGAAGCTTCCTGGCCCGCTTGTTTTTCCATTCAAATGCAACTAAACATACAGTTTCGCATATCCTTTTGTAATGAAAGTCATAATCAAAATGCTAAATATGATTGGAAGAATACTCCAATTGATGTGTGTGTAAAAGAAAAATGATAATACAATACTCCAATTGATGTGTGTGTGTGTAAAAGAAAAATGATAATATAAACATAAAACAATAAAAAATAAAAAAATTCAAATTAGAATATATTCTTACCTTGTCAAAAAAAAAAAAAGATTTCAACGTCGTTTCATAGGTAAAATGGGAGAAAATAAAAGAAATCTCAAATCAAAACACAAGAACACAAACCCTGTTAACCAAAAAAAAAAAAAAGACAAGCGAAAGCTTTAATTATAATAGAAAATATGTAATAAGTATAAGATCATCAAAATTAATCCATTCATATGATATTTTTTTGATATCACAAGGAATATGCATTTCTCTTTTGAACTATTTTTTTAGTAGGCAAGGAACAAGCATTTTGCAGTTCTCCTCTTCCAGAAACTCCCAATTTTTTATAATTGAAAGTATTCAATATAAAAATCAAATGGCTACAACATTATAATTAGAACTATACAAAAAATATCAGAATGCGTATTTATCAAATGTTTCGAGATTTCAACAATAATAAAGAGAATACTAAAGGAAACGGCACGTTAAAAAATAAGAATATAAAAATATGTACAATTGCATGCAGATTTATATATATATATATATATATATTTATATAAATATATATATAGCAAGAAGGTAAATAAGACATTTTGATAATGCAAAATCATTATTGCCAAAAATGATATCTAATAAATTGATGAAGAGGAAAATAAAAGAGAGAAAACAGAGAACACAATAGTTGCCAAACAAATAAAAAATAAGTCTTGCTAATTTTAAAATGAAATATTTAATTTTAGAAGTTACAAGATCCAGTTATACAGAATAAGTCTTAATATTGAAAATCACCATTGAAGAGCTTTAATATAATAATATAAATAGACAAAAATACAGCCAAAAGGAAATATATTATGTATTGTTACCTTCCCCCCGGGGGAAATTAGAGTGCTATTTTGAAGAGAGAACAGAAGAGATTCTGAGATCAGAACGAGCTAGAGGGGTTTAGCAGAGCACGAGAAGTGCAGTGATCAAAGATGAGTTGATACTGAACAATCCTCAGATCTGGAAACATCACTCTCCTTAGGGCCTGTTTGGTTTGAGGGGAGGGTAGGAGAGAGAGAGGAGGGGAGGTTTTATTATCACTTTGTTTGGTTTAATTAAAAAGAAGGGAGGGGATGATATTTAATGATCCCTTGTTTAGTTCAAGAAAAGGAGGGAAGGGATAGTAATAATCAATTTACTATTTTACCCTTACATATTAGTTTATATTTTTTATTGATATATTATATAAATTAACTTACATCTTAATTTAAATTATATAATTTAATGAAAACTCAGTCTTATCATGCTAATATGTGTATTAAAAAATTGGTATAGTAATTTTTTATTCTAATTAATATAATAATATATTTGAAATAATCAAATTAACAAATTTTATATGCTCTAAGAAAAATAAAATTTTATTCTCTTTAGGCTATCCTTTTTTTCAGATTTAAAACATATTTAATAAATAATATATTTATAAAAAACAATTAATTTTATAATATTATAATTTTTATTTAAATATTTTTTATTTTTTATTAATTTTTGTTATAATATATTTTTTAATTATAATAATTTATATTTTTTATACTTAGGATAATATATTTTTTATTTGAAATAAATATTATAATAATATATTTTATAGGTAGTAGTGAAATATTAAAAAAACTATGAGGGTATGATGATCCAAAAATTTAGCTTCCTTCCAAAAAAACCCCCAATTTGGAAGGGAGCTAGAATGGGAGAAGGAAGGGGAGGGAAGAGGAGAGGACATTTTGGCTTTCCTCTCCTCTAAAATTTTTAACCAAATGAGGGGAGGGGCTCATTTCTCCTCCCCTCCCCTCTAACCAACCAAATATATTTAATAAATAATTAACAATTATTTTAGTCAAAGTCTTCAACAAAATATATTTTTTAAGAAGAATACTCCAGTTTTCTATTATTATATTATTATTGTTATAATTGGATTGGATGAAATGACTTACAATTGATTGCTAGCAGCCATTAGCACTTTTTTATTGGATGTTTTATTTTTTATATAAAATATTCTCCTACTTTGATTGAATTAATTTTTTAATTGTCACTTTAATTAATTGAGCCTCATAATTATGATTCAATATGAGTCTTATGTTGTCCTTAAATCTTGATATGATGCAATGATTTTGTTCCTATTATAAGATGGACTTAAAGTCCTCACTAAACTAAGGCAAAAAAAAAAAAAGAGGTTAAATTATTTGATTTTTGTTGAAAGTGAAAAAATTATACAAATTCATGTCTAATAATGTCGAACAATGCTTAGATATGATTTAATATATATTACAGAATATCAAATAACTAAAACAATAAGAATGACATCTTAAGGAGTCATAAAAAAATTGCGTCATAATTAATATCCACTTGAAAATTTAAATAAAATTTTTTTGTTTCCTTTAAAACGGGTCTTACTATAAGGAAGTGAATATTATTCTATATCAATTCATCTATCATTTACTCAACCAATACACACATAACCATCATTGCAAAAATTTGCATCATATTAATTGACGTGTTCCTTAAGGGTCCGTTTGGCTTAATGAGAGGAAAGAGAGGGAAGGGATTTTAATTAAAGGAAGGGGAGGGGAGGAGAATGGAAGAATTTTAATATTATCTTATTTGGATTTATAAAAAGGGAGGGGAGGGGAGGAGAGAAGTTTTAATATTACCTTGTTTAGTTCATGAGGGGAGGTGAGGGAAAAATATTTTAAAATGAACAATTTTACCCTTATTTTATTTAAGATTATTTCTTCAAA